AGGGAACTGACTAAGGCATTTGCACCCTGGTCCGACCATCACAAAGCAAGAGACCCAAGAACTAGAAAGGTGAGGCTCACTGAGCCATTTATCCCTCTGCCCTTCAGTTAACCCCACATGTGTTTATCAGCCAGGTTGCTACAATAAACTAACTACCTCATGTGCCATGAATCAAATTAGCAGGCATGTTATGATTGGAATCAGTAGAATTAGAAGAATGAATGTAAGTCAGTAAAATTGGGCTATCTTTCTTGGCAAGATACCTGGAGACAAAAGAATGATGCAGGAATGATAAAGAGGAAGAGATAGACAGCAATTTGGGTATTCTTATAAGGGAGAGAGAGGGAAGAACTGGGTGGAATTTGGAAGGAGCTTGAGTTGGTATCAAAGAATGAGATTATATGGGTGGTAACTTGAGTTGTATTTGGCTTTCAACTTGAGGACATCTTGGATATTGTGTATGGATCGATGGTGAGTCCATTTTGTCTCCTTTTTTCTGGTCATTATTGATGAGACAGAGATTGTGGAAGCCCTAGAAGGGACATAGAGAGAGGAGTTAATAGTTATTGTGTTAATAGTTCGTTGTTAATAGATGTGGTGTTAAGAAGGTACATACATTGGATTTTACTTTCATAAGTAGGCTTTCAATTTGGATATTTTTCATCCTTTTACACTTGAGGCTACTAAATGCACCAGAGAGAACATAGACAATTAGAAGAAGAATGTGAATTCAAACTAAATCTAGATGACGTTAATCCCAATGTGTTTACTTTTTTATGACATGTCATCTTAAACCTCTTCCTTCTTTCCAACAGCCTCCATCCAATTAAACACTGTTTTCCAAAGGAAAGGCATGTCCTCTGGAACATACATGACTTGTCTTAAATGCCTCCATTTCTTATTGCCTGGCTACTGAGCATTTTTGTGACTCCCACATGGAATTTCCCATTTTCCCTTTTTCAGTTCTTACCTTTTCATTGTGGTTTGGATGGAAGTTTTGATACCACAAGTTTCTTTTAGGAACAGGTTAGTCGCTAAAATACATTTTCACTTTCAAGGATCTTTTAATTCATGGATATATCACTCCCGGCCTGAAAGGACACCAAGATTTGATCGGAGGAGAACATTTGTTAGTGGTTACCAGGAGTAGAAAGGAGGGGGAGGAAGACTACTCGCTCAGGGACACTGAGCTTCAATTTAGGGTGATGGTGAAATCTGGAAATAAATAATGGTACTAGAACATGAGAAACATAATTAATGTCACTAAGTATGCATGTAAAACAAGTCAAAATCGAACATTTGGTTATATACAATAAAAAATGTTCATGTTGCTTATCTGGGCTTAACATTTCCTGAACTCAATTCATTTTCCCACATCATTTTACTCTTTACAATTAGTTGATATTTAAAACCTCCTTTTGAAGTAGACACCAATAAGGAAGGTCAGGCCATGTCCATATGGTTACACTCTTCTCATTTCATATACAAATAATCAAAGCTTCATTCTGCATGACTTTAAAGAGCTCGTGGGCAGATGGACCATCCGGAAGTCAGTCAACCTACAAAATGCCATCATAGGATGCTGTCAATTTCCACATTTTAAAACGAAAGGAAGTTGTATTTTTTTCTTTATGGAAGGAAATCATATATAGCTGCTCATTTTACAATGGTAATTCCTCAGTTTATAAAAGATCTAGGCAAATAGTAGAAAAAATAAGGTTGCCATATGACTATTTTCAATGATTTATTGTATTTTATTTAAGCGGGTAGTAGAGAACAGAAGAGAAAATCCTCTAACTGAGGATTGCAAAATTACAAACAGAAACAATGTTCAGAAACAAATTCTTTGCTCAGTCAGCCATTCCACAAACATAAATGGAATGTCAGATGCTGGGAATCAGAAGACAAATAATGTACTTCCCCTGCCCAGAGGGACCTCAGAGTACAGCTGGCTGCGTGAACAAATAATTGGCACACACTGTGAGGATCTCAAAATAACAGAGGCGTGTCCTAGGTGGACGGTGACACGAGGAGGGGAAGGGTCGGGTTGGAGTTTCTGAGGGGACCCAGGAAGTAGCAACTTTCCCACCTGAGTTCTGAATAATTTAAAGACAAATGAACCTGTAAATACCATGTTCTCTATGAGTAAAAGTGAGATCGGAGGGTCAGGCTTTGGGATCTCAGCCAACAGCTGTTGCTAATTAACAAACAAACAAACAAACAAATAAACAAAAACCCAACTAGCTTCATTTGAGTCGATTCCAACACATGGCCGTCTCACGTGTGGACATCATACAATTTTTCTTTATTAAAAGATAATTTAAAAATTTTATTTTAAAATATTTTTATTGGGGGCTCTTACATCTCTTACATTCCTCCATTGTGTCAAGCACGTTTGCACATAGGCCGTCATCATCACTTTCAAAGCATTCTCTTCCCACTTGAACCCCTGATATCAGTTCCCCATTTCTTCCCTCTCTCTCCCCCCCACCTGCCCTTCCTCACAAACCCTTGGTAAGTCATAGATTATATTTTCCATATGTGTTAGACAGGGTTCTCTAAAGAAAAAAAGACAGAGTGCTAATAATTTTATATATATTTATACAGATAGATAGATATATAACATAAGAAATAAACAGCTAATTAAATTATAAAGCAGTACAAATGGCTCAGTGCAACTCACTCCCATGAGACAACTGTGAGACACTGGCAGTCCTTCAAGTCTTGAGGGCCCCCGGGTAGTCCTCTGTAGAGCAATTCAAGCTATCCGGGCACAGGCTGCAAACAGCAAGGCAGGTCACCAACAGTCAGCCAGATGACAGGGTCTGACTCTCCCCAGCTCAAGAGATGTAAATTCCAATGCTGTGGTGAAGCAGGTCTTGAAGGAATTTCAAATTACAGTGACACAGTCCACAGGTAGTGTAGCTTGCAAATGGAGGCACAGAACAAGCAAGGCAGCCGCACACTGGTCCAATGATCAAAGAGCAAGAGATAAGAAAGGAGAAGCTCGCTGAGCCATTTATCTCTCCACCCTTCAATTAATCCCACATGTGTTTTTTGGCCTGGTTGGCACAATCAACTAACTCCCTCACCATATCTCACATCGTCCTCCATCCTTCTTTATTTTGACACTCACCCTTTCTCCCATGGCATTCCACTTCTTGCCGAGTTCAATAATCCATTACAATGGCTACATCACACTCACAGAACTCTATTTTTTTGAACACTTCAGTGGGTCCTTTGCGCCATATTATTTCAACCAACCAAAGCATCTTGCCACAAAGCACCACAGTCAAGGCACCAAGGTAAGAGAAGAGTCTGCAGAGGTGGGAAGAGGAGTTAAAATGCTCTCAGGAAATTGCAGTCTCTTGTCCCCAAAGCTTCTCTCAACTCTTGATTCCCCAAGCAGAGATCAGCCAGATCACTGGAGTCTGGTGTGGCATGCATCACTTGACCATTTTTGACAACGTATGCACTCTGCAGCATGTCTATTTTGGCCTATTAGTAACAGAATGTGCGTTCTCTGAAATGCGGACTGGCATAAGATGAAGGGTGGCAACAAGCACAAAGCTGGCTCTTCCTTATTGGAGTTCCAGGCCAGGCCTTCCCTTCCCAAACCACCCTTGTCTACTGTCTACAGGATGAGAAAGACAGTGCAACTCTGTCTTTCTGACTTGGGCACATCTTCCGGTTAACAAGGCTGACATCGTACACTGCCCCGCAGCGTCCTATGGTCCTCCCCGTGCACTGTCTGCTCTGAGCAGGAACATTGTCCTCTGGGCTTCATGGGCCAGGATGTCCTCCCCTCCCTCTCCAACCCTTTGCGTTTCTCCTGGGTGCTCTAATAAGACACGTCCCTCTCCCCACGCTGTAGCCCCAGTGCTGTCTCCTGAAGTGCATTCTTCTGGGGGATGGCTGGCATGTCCACAGAGTCAGGATTGGGGCTGGCCCCGCAGACCTCTCCATTGGGTCCCTGGTACATGTCGGTATGTTGTATTCATGTCTTGGCACATTGGGTTGAAACCTGGTCTCTCTCTCCTTCTCTGGTGGAGATATAAGCAATACCTCGCCCCCTTGGGTGGATTAGTGCCCTGCTCCCCACCCTACCCATGTCTTTATTTTTTTCCCTCTTTCTTTCCCCCTCTTATTTAGTTGGCTGCCATATGTATCCCTGGATTGGTTTCTGACTTTTGGAATTGGGCTATCTTTAAGGGTGTTAGGTGGTATCTTATAGTTGTTTTAATTTGCATTTCTCTTATAGCTAGTGATCAGGGACATTTTCTCATATGTTTATTGGCCATTCTGATTTCTGTCCCTGTGAAACTTCTGTTCAATTCCTTTGCCCACCTCCTTAGTTGGCAGTTTGTTTTTTTCTTATTGCAATCTTGCAAAGTATTGTAGATTTTAGTAATAAGGCCTTTGTCTGATCTGTCATTGCTAACGATGTTTTCCCAGTCTATGGGCTCTCTTACTACCCTCTTGGTGAATTCTTTTGATGTACACAGGTGATTTATCTTTAGTATATCCTACTTGCCAATTTATGACTCTTCTGCATTTGTATCCTTCCCTATTTCCAATAGCCTAAGTATTCCCTGTGCCAAGATTTAAAATATCATTTTATTGGGGTCTTTTACAACTCTTAAAACAATCCATACATCAATTGTATGAGGCATATTTGTACATATGTCGCCATCCTTTCTTTTCTAGACATTTTTTTCTATTGAGCGCTTGACATCAGTTTCCCTTTCCCTGTCACCCCCCCCCCACGCTCATGACTCCTTGATAAATTATAAATTATTTTCATATTTTACACCAACCGCTGTCTCCCTTCCTCCATGGTTTCTGTTGTTTGTCCCACTGGAAGGGTGTGTGAGGTTATATGTCGATCATTGCAACCAGTTCCCCCTTCCTTCCCTCCTCTCCCCATCTTCTCCCTACATTATATGATTTTTGATGCCTGGATTTTCAGCAGTAGATCACCAGGGATTTCTTCAGAGGTGGATCTTTATTATTAACTTTCAACCCCAGACAAGCATATTAACCATTTGTTTCACCTAAGAATGCTGGTTTGGCAGTTGCTACAAATGAACTACAACTATAAGGGTAGTGGAACTCACTCACAATCCAGAAGATAGAGCTTTCTCTCTCCCAATGAGAATCTGCTGGTTAATCCTAAATGACACCAAAGAGATTAATTTTTTAAAGATGTTTCCTCTATTCCACCAAGTATATCAACGTCACAGGCTTAGTGTGATTAAAAATGATTTCTGATTTTCAGTGTGCTTAGAACAAGAGAATCATATCACTGGAGCTGTGAAGGACC